TTAATTTATTATATTAGGTAATTATTTATTTACATAATTGTTGAAACTAATTGTAACACAAAATTTAAATGAAATAAATAAAACTAAATGTATTTGTTCAAATAATATATTTTTACTTATTAATATTGTAATATGAGAAACATAGTAATAAACTAATATAAAAATTAATTATTTATAATCATTCATTATTTTATCATAAAAAAAGGTTTTCAGTAGGTGTAGTTTTTGAAATTATAAAAGTTGGCAACCCTATAATTATCCACATAACTACTTTAAAAATTATTATGCATTTTAATTTTATATTGGTTTAGTGGGATCTTAATTTAATTATTAAAATGTAAATAATGTAATGTAGTTAAAATATCTAATAAAAAATATTAATTTCACAATCTATAGGGTTAGTACATTGTAATGATTAGCGGCTTTAGTCTGTCTTGGCCAGTATTTTCGGGATGATCAGGGTCCAGTGGAATTAAAGCACACTGCTCACCCTGCTTCACCTGTATGTACAACTATAATTAAATATAACAGTTTTTATTTTTCCATTATTTTAATTAGTTTTAAATAGATAGGTATCTAATTTWAAAAAAAAATCAAAGTTTATATTTCACTTTAATATTTGTTAATAAAAATATAAATGTAATCTATTATTGATTTTAGTAATTAATGTAGATCTTAAATGAGTTAAATGTCATGATTTTATTGTATTATGTTAAACTAAATATACCTAGTATGTATTTTGTAGAGCATTGATGAAGATGATGTTGACAATTTAAGGCTAGCTGCTCTTATGACGTTAAAAAATAAATCATTCTTACCAATTAATACTAGGGGTAGTAAATCAGTTAAATGTTTGCCACATAGTTCTCGTAGTAGTTCCTATAATACTCCTTCAAGAAACAATGAAGGATGGTTTCCTCCATCAAATAAATTGTCCAGTAAATTTTCATTGAGACATAACAGACATGTAAGTTTTTAAATTTTAAAGTACATTGTAATTATACTGTTAATTAATACCTACCAAATTACTTTGATTTACAGGTAAATTTAAAAAAGTCATTTCATCCCAATAGAAATTTGATAGCTATTGTACCATCTAATATTGAATATGATTTTTGCTCTGATTTTACTGATTCTGGCCCTGTGCTTAATTCTGAGGATAAAAAATCACCAAATATTCATGATTCAAGTAATGAAGGTATGTATGTAAATCATTAAAATTATAGTTTTTTTAATAATCAAGATTTGTTTTAAAATCTTAATTTTATATATCAATGAAATAAAATTTTAATTATATGTTACATTTTTTTTCCTAGTTACCACTAAATTCAGCAGATTAGAACATGAATCTGACTCTGAAGAAAGTGAAGATAGTGAACCAGAAATAAATAAAAAAGAAGAATCAGATGATTGTGATATTTTATCATTGGGGGAAAAAGATCAAGATTTAGATGATCTCGACAAATTAATGGATATTATAGAGGCTGAAATTGCTGATGGAGTGAGTAAAGATATCAAAGAAAGTTCAAATCTAAAAACAAAAAATAATCATGAAGTAAAAAAAGCTACTGAATTAAATGATAAAAAAAATGAACCTATTGTATTAAATGAATCTAAGATCATTGAAAGTAAATCACAGTTAAATCCATCTAAAAAAAAACTTGAATCAGAAATTACTGTTGAAACAAATACAAACTCTCCATCTCAATGTAACTTATTGAAATCTCCAATGCCGCCTAATATAAAGAGATCAATCTCTCCTTATACTAAATATTTAAATAGATGTTCTACCACGATAAGTCATTCAAAGTTTCAATGCAAATCAGTATCTCCAAAAAGGTTATCACCAATTAAAGAAAAAGTTATATCTCCAATACAATATTCTCCCCCAAATTCTCAAAATCATTCCTCTACTACAAAACAAACATGCAATTTTTCATCACAAGTCATATCTCCTAATAAAAGAAGACAATCTCCATTTAATGAAGAAAGTATATCCACACTCAAGAGGAAATCAAGATCACCAGATAATGGCTCTGCTAATACAAAATCAAATAGCCCAATGGCAATAAAAAAACTGATGAGACCAAGGCAAATATCTTCTACTATTCCATATGCTGATAATAATGATCACTTACCGAAAACAGCCAAACTTGAATCTGTTGTCAAACAAGTGAAAATGAGTTCATTTGATCCTCTTTTAGAAGTAAGAAAAAGAACATTTGAATTTAACTAAGCCAAAACAACATCTTAAAGAAGGAAAAAAATATTTAGAAAAAAACCACTTTTAGTAGCAATTTAGACTCAGATCAAAGAAGTAGACTAAAAATATTGATCAAAAATGAAATGAAAAGTTATCTATTAATAGAAGTATTTAACAATTTACATTAAAATCTGTTTTATTGTCTATTTCTTTAATTTCAGTTTAAATTTCTACTTGGACTAATAACATAATAATTGTATTTCTGGTTATTTAAATTGAAGAAAAAATAGAAATTAAATATTAAATATTCATTAAGTTTTGATTTCTTTTTCTTTGCTGAAACTACTAGTTTGTTAATTAATGTATTATTTGTTTTCAAACAGCAGGTGTTAGATGTTAAAAATTTATCCATACAACAGACTGATTCTGTTGATCTGAGAACAGAACTAAAACGACGGAGAGCTCTTCGACTAAATACGGTAAAAAAAAAAAAAATTATAATATTTAATTAACTTGCTCCTATAAAAAAATTATCATTTGTCTAGAATCAATTGGATGCAAAGAAAAAATCAGAATCATTTTATCCTACTCGGTTACTACAGTCTGCAATTAGAGATGTAGTTGATTCTAGGTAGTATTAAATGTATATATATTATATCAGCTGTAAACCCTAATTTTGAAATTCAAAATATAATTTCTAGTACATTAAAAGGGATTAGCAGTATAGAAGTTTTAATGTACTCAATAGATTAAATATATAAAAGTATTTGTGTTTTATGGAAAGATTGATTTACCTTTCCATAAATGCTTATGAACTAAAAATTAATATTATAGGAAACATATTTTTAAGAAGTTTGTTGCCTATTTCATAAGATGTTTCAATTCATAGAAAATGAGTCTATAAAATATCATAAATAATATWAATTAATATTTTTATTGCAGTGCTAATGGAATGAAAAGAAAAAAATCTTCTAACAAACCAGAAATAAGAATACAAACTGAAAGTATGTATTTATTTTATCACTTTATCAATTTTAATTATAAGTTTCAAATTTCTCATTTAATACTTTTTTTTAAATTTACTACTACTAGTATAACATTATGATTGATCTATTTTTGAGAGSGGGAAACTCGGCCTAGCAATTTTTATTTTTTATTATTTGTTAGTTTTCTGGTCTCTTGTTAAAATAAACAAAATAAAAAAGGTTTTATTATTTCATTGCATTAAACATTTTATGTTTCATAAAAAAATAAAGCTATGAAATAATTACTATGTCATAATTAACTACTACAGTCAGTCAAACATTTATTGAGAAGCGGATACTGAATAATGAATATATTATATATAACCAAGAAAAAACAGTAATACTTTCAGAAACCAACAGAACTTTGTTTATTTTATGCACACCTATAGCCTTAATTTTCTTAGAAATATAATGTCTATATCAACTACTAGGTATGACTTTTGGTGTTACTTAAGATCTGTATATTATTTCTAACTCCAAAAAAAGTTAGTATTTTAAGAATACTTTTAAATAGAAATGTATTTTAAGGTTTGCAATTAATTTTGTCTTGGACCTTGCAAATTTTTTGAACATACCAGATTATATTTATATTTATTTATTAGATATAAGATATAATATTAATATTAAATTGTTATATGTATTCAATTTTATTTTATTATTTCAGGTAATACAAAAGGCCGAAAAGTCATTTTACTTTCAGAAAGTAAGTTCATATATTTTTTTTCTTTATTAATATTAAATAAAAATAGACTAATTGATAATAAACCTTGCCCAATGAATTCATGGTTTTACATATTGTAAATTTTTTACATATTGTATCATATTTAATGCCATGACTATTGTGGAAACCATTTCAATATACCACAATAATTATCTTTAAAAAATGTATTTTATTTTACTTTTTTAATGTTTTTGGCTTATTTGGTATATTTTAGCAGATGTTTAAATAGTATACATGTAAATTGTACGTACATACTCAAAATAATTTGTTGTAACAACATACTTAAAAATTATAAAGATTAAGAGTAGTGTGTAATGTAATTTTAAAAATAAAATATTGTTTTTGTTTAGATCAATATGATCGTAGTGATGAAGTAGAATCTTATCCGTGTGCAAAAAGACTAAAAGGAAATTACAAGAAAGTTCCACTTCATTTCAGGGTAAAAGGTGTTTCTAATAATAACATGAAACAAAAAGAATTAAAGAAGATCATTAGGCAAAACATTAATGTTACAGATATAGATCAGGTATTTGATGTCCTAATCACATGCAACTCTTTTTTTACTCTTGTAAATTTATTACATTATAACCAATTCAGATCAAACTACAGAGTAACATTTTTCTTAACTTATTTGATTGATAACATATTTTTACTAGTGACAAGTTAAAAACTTATTTTTACTTATGAGATATTCCTAAAATAATTTCATGTTTCAATAATAAAATATTTTTAATTTAGTGTTTATTATAAGAATAAAAATTCATAGTATTCATTCATTTTCAGGACTATTGTACCTGCTGTATTCTTTTTGTAATAAAAAATATAAATTATTTTCCATAAATGGAATAAAATAAATTTTACGAATTTCACTACCCAACGTTGGCTATGCAATATATATATAATAATAATAAAAAAATACAATAAACAATAATACCTACTTTTAAATTATAATACTTTCAATTCCAATCACTTATTTATTACTCATAGTTGTTTTAATAAAGAATTACATAGATTCTTAAGCAAAACAAATMTGTATAGTAAAATTTAAATCTAAAATAAAAATGTATGTATAAATAACTGTAACTAATGGCCTTTGTCGTCGATGTTTATAAGATCAATAATAAAAAAAAAAAGAATACATTGAAACAATTACATTTATAATTATAAAATAAAAGCAAACAAATCATATATGTGGTATTTTGTAGTTTTATGTAATTTGGTTTGTATTTAAACTGCTAAAAATATTGGTCAAACATTTTTTTATAAATTTGATATTTTTAACTTATATTTATGTTTATTATTTTTATTTTTATTTTTTTTTTGTAAATAATTCCTATTTTAATTTAATTAATTTCAATGCAATATGCAAATRTATTACTATTGTTTGATTTACCATCTTGAATAAGTGTATAAACAAATATGAAACATTTAAAACTCTAATTCTAATATTTAAAGTTATTTATCTTTACATGTATATGACTTATTACTTAAACGTTTTGTCTACTATACTTACTAGTAATCTAGCCCTAACTGTTATGACCATTTATATAATTTGTATGTTAATGTTTTTATTCTTTTATATTTGTTTATTTATTTGTCACATTTATTATGACTTAATATTTATTCTCAGTTTTAGAAAAGTTTTTAATTCAGTTTTATAATGTATATTATTTCTTTGTAACATTATTTGTCAAATAGTTGAAAAAGTTGTTAGTGGTTGAACAGACAMTGTTTTGTTACTACATCACATTTTTACATCTCTTCTGTAACTTGAAAGAAAAATTCTTGTAAAATTTTTATATATATTCATTAAAAATAAGATTATCACAGACATAGTACTTTTTGCAACTGTTTGACCTATATATTAATATAATCTAAGGCTTACAAATACAAATCATATATTTTCTTATTGTAAAACAGACAAAGAAATATGTTATTTTTATTTTGTTTACAATTGTACTACCGATTTGAAATTTGTAACGCCAATTATTTATGAGAACAGAATATTGTTAATTTTTAACCAAAATATGAATTTTTATATGTTGGTCACAGATGTAAATATTCACAACCATATTCTTCAGCATAACAGAAGCAGCAGCATTTTATTACTATGGACATAAAGTATATTATGTTATTTTGAAATTGTCTTCTTGGATGATTATCAACTATGTTTACTTAAAATGTTTTGATGCTATGCAGTGCGCATTTATTCATATTATATATTTTTTTAATCAAGTACCAACTGATTTATGTACATCCTTAATAAATTTGTTATTAAATATGTAATATCACATTCATTATTTTTTAAATTAAGTTCACCAATTGGCAATTGTATCCTGATATTTAATTTTCTGTTAATTACCTTAAAAGGTAATTTAATAAAAAAATCACTTAATTACATATTATATTTAACATATATACATTACATATATAAGATAGATAAATTACATATTTAGATGCTAACTGTTTTCTGATTTGTATAAAAAATTTTGTTAAGAATACTGTTCATATATCAATTCAGATAAATGTTGATTTAAAAACTAAATTTATTAGTTGTTGTATGCTAAGTAACTTTTATTGATAGTTATTAATTGTATTTTTTTTTTTTGCAAAACAATAACAACTAGTAAATATTTATTTTGTATCCCGAAAAAAAATGTATTCATGTTAAACAATATAATTTAAATTTGTTACATAGATGTATTATGATTTTTCATTCAGTTCTAACGTTTAGACAATTTTAATTATGATCCTTACTCTACATTCCTACCTATTAGTTTATTTAATTCTCTTAAATCCATCATTGTCCCCCTCAATCATTCTTCTATCCCCAACTCCAATTYGGAAATAATCGTAAATATGATTACCTATTAATTTTATTTTGGAGGCTGGTTTTATCGTATAATTGCTGTTTTTAACTCTACATGTTTTTAATATTTCATTATTATCTAGTTATGTTATTTTATATGATTGTTGTGTTATAATAGTTAAACTAAAAGCTAATAAAAAAAAAAAAAGATGATCGTTAGAACAACTTTTATTATTAATTTCATTAAATTAATGTTTTTTCATATGAAACAAAAGATGACAAACATTTATTTTAAAATAGTTATATAATATTGTATAATGATATAATTGAATATTCAAAAATGCTTAATTTTATAATATATAATAGTAATTTACAAAAAAAAAAAAATTAAATTAAATTTATAGAAAAAAAGTTTTAATTTTAATAAATTAGAACAGAATTATTTGCAAAGTATTTTTTAATAAAAGAAATTCCGTGATTTCCATGAAACGCAAAAGCAATATCATTTGTTTTTAAATTTTCTTCGTCACAAAATTGCTTTAACAATTTTGTTGCTATTCCATTATTCCTATATTTAACCATCACCCATAACTTAGATATACCAAATTTGACTGCAATTAAATTTGTCGAAAGCTGACTGTTTTGATAAATGCATGCATTTGTTAATGGCTCTGTTTCTAAATATCCAATAATTTTGAATTTAGGATCTACTGCTAAAAATATTGTATGGTTCAAATAATTAATACTTTTCTTAGAAGAATCAATTTCTAAATGTATAAAATCTTGTATATTTTTCAATGTAAGTCTAAGCCTCAAATCGTCACAATTTTCAGTAACCTTAATTATGTTAAAAAGAAATCCATTGGTATTAATTTTACTTGAAATGTTTACGGGAACTTGGCTCTTCAACTGGAGTTTATTTAAATTTTTATGTAAAGATGTATGTAACGAATCATTCCAGGAAGTAGGAACTTGAGACGGAAATATTCCACAACGACAAGGTTTTTCAATTTTTTTAGGTTTAAGATTCGAAATATCAAAAACAGTAGTACTTTGATTATTATTATTAGACTTTTTGTTTTTAATATCTGGACATATTATTTTCATAAATTCATCCGAATCAGCCTTTAACACTGTTTTGAGTTTATACTGATGAACAACTTTATTATTACCAGTKCCCTTACAAATAAACATATTGTTATATCTTGATTTAATACATGTTTTTTTCTGAGTTTTAAAAGGATTTTTAGGAAAAGGCGAAAAATAATGTTCAGTCGATTTAGGATTATTTCTTAGCCAGTAATGATTTTGATTTTTTTCCACCGAATTATCATTATTGTTAACACCTTCAAAATTAACGGAATTATTATTGTCTATAGGTACCAATTCATTAAGAAGAGGTTCATTATAAGACAAATTACTTAAATCTTGTGCCATGGTTTTTGATATTTCATTTATTGGCAATTCATTCATACATAGCAAACTACAGTTGTCTAAAAAGTGTTTCTTAGATGATTCATTAATATCGATGCAATCACTAACAGGTTGTAGTAAAGAATTTGATGTATTTAGTCCTCTGATACAACCGGATGAATCAAGTGCTGCAGTTTTATTTAATGAAATTACATCATTGGCATTGCCAGTTGCAGATTTTGATGATAATAAATCGTCACGAGACTTATTGAATTCCAAAAAATCATTTTGCACATAAAACTGATTTGTTGATTTATCTTTTTGTTCATTCACTATGTTATCGCATAATGGGAATTTAAATTGTTCCAGTTTTTTATTTATACATTCCAACTTATCATTTAATACATTTAAATTATTCAAATCAACCCCTACAAAYGGTATAGTTGAATAATCTTTTTTATTTGATGAAGAGTCAATACAATTGTACATGCTATTTGCTTTCATCACATTGTGAATATTTTCAATGATTTCATTRATATGTTTTGATCTTTTAATTATCTGTCCATCGCGTTTATACATACACTTATTCATTATTTGTAATATCTCATGCTTCATACTATTCAAGTATGGTACAATATTTCCAGAAAACATTTTTAAGCTCAATTCCATTTGAAAGATGTCTGATAGATCAGTGTTATTCAGATAGTTCTCATCAAATGTTGAATGWTTATTGATATTGTTAGTCAACTGTGATTTATTAGATATTATTGTTGTATTTTTATGAACTGTTTGATTTCCATTAGTTTTATTTCTCGTTGAAYTTTTTTCATTTTTCAATGAATACACTAGATCTATCTTATTTGATTCGTTTAGATTTAAATTTATTGTCTTGTCCGATACCAAATTTAACTGAAATGAATTATTGTTTTTACTTTTTCTATTCAACGTCGTGTTTGTCGTGACATTGGACGTCTGTATAGTTGTTTGGGATTGATTCGTGTGTAATATGTTTGTCACATCATTCAAAGTTTTCTGAGAAACTTGTTTTATACTATTAAAAGTTGTATGTTTTGTATGTTTGTCAGTTTTTTCTTGATTTTCAGAACCAACTAACGGACTGTTATATTTTGGTGAGGCAGTTTTATGTAATAAATTAGATGTATCAGTGAAATGTGCTGTATATGAAGAAATTGTCGTATCAGAATTATTATTATGTTTATTAACCTTACTTGATTTTGATTTACTATCATTATTAGACATCTTGAGTTTAACTGATAGCTTTTTATTAGAAGTTTTTTCCCAGTAATATTTATTTCTAATTTTATTTTGATGATTACTTAAGGGACTGCTGGTTGCTATGGGTTTGTTATTCATCATTTTACAATAATCAATATCGGAATCAGAACTAGAAGGAGTRTGTAAGGCGGATGGCACATTAGCCACATTATGTACAAATTCATTTTGTTGAGGTAAGATCAACAATTTTGATCCTTCAGAATCTGAATAATACATTTCGTTTGTATCTGAAGAAAAACTATAATAGTCWAATGCATCAGTCGGTTGATTTAAATTTGCAGTTTTATCTGTATTMAGATTTATATTCTTAATTATGTTGGATGAATTACTGGTTTCGCAGTTTAAAGTATCTATTGATTTGAATAGTGATCTGGAATTGTTGACAACGCTCATCATTTATAGATTGGAATGAAAAATATGTATGCTAACAAATGATTGTTGAAGATCTTCATTAAGTTTATCATTTTTTTTCATATGTTTGAGTTTGCTTACAATAATCTTTATTATGTGTCTGAAAAAATACAAGAACTTTCATCTAACTATTTTTATTAAACTATTTTAATTGATTAAAATATTATTAGTTTATGTYTATTTAATTTAATTTAATAAACACATACAACAACCTCCCCCCATCAAATTGTTGGCCCTTTAGTTTTTGAGAACTCTTATAAAATATTTTTTAATATATTATAGTATAGTACCTATATACCTATCGAAATTTCAAAAATAACCATTTCATTTCAACTGACCCCTGAACTCCAAGTTCAATAGCTCTACCAYCATTGTGGGGYCCTTACAATAAACTCCTAAAATATATTCTAGACGAAAAAAAATGTCAAACATAATAATATGAGAGAAATACATCATGATCATGTGGCCTCATAATGATTTTGTTTTTGAAGGATGATGGGAGGGGGTGGTTCCATAAATATCTGGATCCTTTATTTTGTCACTTTGGTGAAAACATATCAATCAACTTATAAACAAAGATGAAATTATTATTTATTAATATATTAGGATCTTCTAGCAATAAATTAAAGAAACAATAAAGGGCATCCAATTTTTATAATAATTTATAGTTCATATAATTATATATATATAATATATATAGTTACTAGTTACTTAGGTACCTATGTTTATTGATTTTTTTTCTATTCTATGTATACCAATTTGTTTAAAATTGTTTGTTTTAAATAATTATACCTATGTATCTGTTAACAATAAATTATTTTTAAGTAGCTAATAAATTATTTTTTAACTAAAAAAATAATAATATTTTATTGCAATTAACTGGCWGTTAAATCTATTTATGAAGTCTGTATGTGTTTTGTGTTGGGGCCAATTAAAAACTATACTGTG